TCCACGAAAAGAAAAAAAAAGATAAGAGGTTTGGTTGGTCGAGCTTACTGATTAAAAAAGGCATCCCCACCAAAATCAAATACTATTCCTATTTTACTCTTCTTTTTTGGTATTATTGAACAACTTTTTAAGCTCCCCCTTTATTTGTCACTGAAATCTTCCCCGTTTACTTTGTACTATATATACATATTCACATAATTGCTTTTATAGTCCGTAGAGAAATCTCTCAAAACTGTTTTCTCTGCAAGACTAACATAAACAACACAAAAAAGTCAGAGAAAACAAGAGATAAATAGAAAAATGGGAAGTGTAGAAGCTGGAGAAAAGAAAGCTTTAGGATGGGCTGCAAGAGATCCTTCTGGTGTACTCTCTCCATACTCCTACACTTTGAGGTTATTTTCTTTTTTTCTTTTATAATATCGTTTAAATTTATTGTAAGTAACATGGTTCTTATCTCTTCAAGAGTTATTGAACATTTTTTTGTTTGTATCTTTGTTGAAAATTGAATCTTGGATTTGTTAATATGAACACAGGGCCAGATGATGTGTATATAAAGGTTATATGCTGTGGAATCTGCCATACTGATATTCACCAGATTAAAAATGATCTTGGCATGTCCAATTATCCTATGGTTCCTGGGTAATTTCTTCTTTGACTCTCTCTTCTCTTTTATTTAATTTTTGGCTCTTTTTTGTTTATGCAGTTAATATATTTGCCCTGAATTGTATTTTTATTTTTCATCTGTTAAAATGGATCCCAAAGTTATCTATTGACTTCAAATTAGATCCCGATCATAAACAATATGGTTTCAGATCTTAAAAGGAACCAAATACATTTTTCTTTGGATATATGTGAAAAATGTGTTTGCATGTAACTGAAATAGTATACTCGTGACCATCTCTGTTGTTTTTTTGGCGTGCCGGAGATAACTCCAATGTCCAAAATCCAAACAGTAGATTGGAGATCTAAATTATTTCCAAAATGTCAAAAATATCATTTTAATCTATTAATTTGTTGTTTTACGTTTCATATAAGTTTATTGAATTTGATGACATTGTAGTCTGAAGTTCATTATTGTTTTGACCAAAAATTATTATCTTCCCTAATCTCTATAATATTATTTGAGAAGTAACTTTCTTACGTGTTGCGCTCACGTTAACTCTCGCGATGGTTGATTACGTAGATACCCTTAATGAATTGTTAGATTTTAAGATTATTATTAATTTTTTATTTAGTTTCTTTTTTACCTTTTTCCAAATAACATATATAATAAAAAGGAAATATTTCTAAAATTTTAAACCAAATTTAAAAATGAAAATTATGTATATAATATGACTTTAATAAAAAGGAAAGTCACAAAATAGTAAAACCCCCATTAATATATACTTTTAAATAGCATAAAATATATTTTCAAAATAATATATATATATATATATATGTTCATGAACATCCAAAAATTTATCAGTTACACTTTATTTTCTAATATTTTTTTTTAGAAATCAACATATAATTTGATAAATATTATGAAAATACATGTATATTTAAGCGATAAATAAAAATAATTGATTTGACTTAACAAGAGTAAATAAATATTATAAAAATACATGTATATTTAAGCGATAAATAAAACTAATTTGATTTGACTTAACTAAAATAAAAGTTATTATGCTTCAATTTTAATTTAAAAATATTTTTAACTCGATATACTCAGAAAATGAATGACTCGACTAATCTAATTTATATCCAAAATTAAACATCTAATTACAATAAGAACATATATTTTTATAATAATAATAAGAAGAAGAAACTATTTAATTTTATATATATAAATTAGATGTTGACTCAAAACATATTTAAAAAAAAAGAATATATTAACCAATTACAATTTAATTCTTTTGTAGAATTTATATATATATATGCATGAGACTTCAAAATATTATCAATATATTCATTTATGTAATTTTGAATCAAACACTTTAGCTTATTATTTATTTCATTTTAAGCATAATATATATTAAGTTATACTTAATTTAACTATACTATATTTACATATCTAAGACAATAACCAACCGAAATGAAAATAAGAAAATTAATCAAAGTTTTATTATATTTAGAATAAAAAATGTTATAGTTGAATTGGAAAAATAGATATTATCCAATATACCAAATTGATAACCAAACTGATTAAACTGACAATAATATATCCAAAGTCATATGTATAATTAGAATAATATAATATTTTATTAATATAAATTATACATATAAATTGATTCAAAACTAAAACTAAATATCAGTCAATTATAATAAAATTTTACTTTATGAATATTCATACCCGTGCATAAGCACGGAAAAATCACCTAGTCAATAATTAATATGCAAAAAAATCAGCCATGTGGAATTGTACATTATATATCCTTTTACAAGCAATATTTTGTAAAATCCAAATTGAATTTTGATATACAGACACGAGGTGGTAGGAGAAGTGGTGGAAGTGGGATCAGATGTTAGCAAGTTCACCGTAGGAGATGTGGTCGGAGTAGGCGTTATTGTCGGATGCTGCGGTAGCTGCAAACCATGTAGCTCAGATCTTGAGCAGTACTGTAACAAGAGAATCTGGAGTTACAACGATGTCTACACCGACGGCAAACCAACTCAAGGTGGCTTCGCTGACACTATGATCGTCAATCAAAAGTAAGCACACACAAACAAACAAACCTTTCCTGTTTCACAAGAAAACACAGAGCATTTGTTACTTCCTCCACACGTAATCTCATGTTTCCCAACTTTTTTGTGTTTAAAAGGTTCGTTGTGAAGATCCCAGAAGGTATGCCGGTGGAACAGGCTGCCCCTCTGCTCTGCGCGGGAGTAACTGTGTACAGTCCGTTGAGCCACTTCGGTTTAATGTCAAGCGGGCTCAAAGGAGGGATTTTAGGGTTAGGAGGAGTTGGGCACATGGGTGTGAAGATAGCTAAAGCAATGGGACATCATGTGACGGTGATAAGTTCATCAGAGAAGAAAAGAGAAGAAGCAATGGATCATCTAGGAGCTGACGACTACGTAGTGAGCTCTGATCAAGCAGAGATGCAAAGAATCGCAGATTCTCTTGACTATATCATAGACACCGTACCGGTTTTTCACCCACTGGAGCCTTACTTGGCTTCTCTTAAACTCGACGGGAAACTGATTCTCATGGGTGTTATTAACACTCCTCTTCAGTTCATAACCCCTCTCCTCATTCTTGGTCAGTCTTTCTTGTTTTACAACTAATGATCTCTAGTTAGCAAAGTTTTGATTCATTTTGTTTTTGATGATAGGGAGGAAAGTGGTATCAGGAAGCTTTATTGGGAGCATTAAAGAGACAGAGGAAGTGTTGGCTTTCTGCAAAGAGAAAGGGCTTACATCAACTATTGAAGTGGTGAAGATTGATGAGCTCAACACTGCGTTTGAGAGGCTTCACAAGAACGATGTTCGTTACAGATTTGTGGTTGATGTTGCCGGAAGCAATCTGGCCGAGGAGGCTGCAACAACTACAAATTGAAAGAGAGAAACTAAATAATGTAATGGGTTCTATATATGTTTGTGGTGTCTTTTCTTTCAATGGTTCGGAACGAATGCTTTGGTGTATCATTTAATGTTACTTTTGCTTCAAATGTGAATTTATGTCCTGCTGTCTTTTTCATTCTAGGAGAAAGAAACAAATTAATATGAGTATATATTTGTGATGAATTCCTATATTTAAGTTCCTTATTTTGTTAGTTGGAGGACATGAATCCCATATATATTAATTGGGGATCTGTAACCTTAAGTTTGTATTAATTAAAAATAACTCAATCATTTGTGGCATATCTTTTATCTTCTAAATTATATTTAACACAATTTTAGAGCACCTTACATATACCATAATTTAAACATATATTTACTAGAAAGATGTTGGTCGCATATCTTATTAATCTTAAAAATTTATTATTCATTATTTCCTTAAATAAAAGCTACGGAGTTACTTTACCTGATTAAAATATATATGGCAATTAATAATTTCAATAATAAAGATTTGCTAACAATTTGTATATCCACTACCATTTTTTAAATATTTTTTATTAAAATAAATAACACAATTACATTATTATATAATAAAAATTCATATTTTTGTATATATTGTAATTTTAATTTTTTTTTAAACGGGTATATAGTTAAAAAATCTCAAATAAAATTTTTGTGATCAATGATTTAAAATTTTATTATAATAAGATACAAATAAATATAAAATACGTGAGTAAGAAGTCTTATTTAATACGTTTATATTAATACATATATCTAATTTAAATTAAATTACATACCATATTAAAATACATACTTATATTTTGATATTTTCATTGAAATTTTTTTGAGAATTTGATATTTTAATTTTAAAATTTGCATTCAATTTTTAATAGTTCAAAATTTTGTTATAAAAATATATTGATAATCATAAAACCTTATAATGAGAAAATTCATTTACTAAACATCCATATTAAAAATATTATATATATATTGTTAATGTCATTTATATTTAATTGTATCTAATATACGATGGACAAAATTGATTGTTTTGGTTTATTTACCATAAAATGATTGTTAATAAATAAGAGTGACCGTTTAATTTAAATGGACGCACCAAATTATTTATATATGTAATAGTGATTGAGTTCTCAGTTATTCAATTAATATATTTTTATTTATTATTGCATAATATGTAGAAAAATATAAAAATAAATAATAGTATACAAATATAATTTGTAGATAAAATGTTTATCATGCGCGGTTCTTATATAAAAAGTTAGGAAAAGAAAATGAAACACAATTTGATTTGTATGATTTCACCATGTACAACATAATCGCAAATGAATAATGTATAAAGTAAGATTCACGATATTTACAAATTATTCCCCCATCATTTATAAATAATTATATAAATAATCTTAAGTTCTATTTAATTTACAAACCGACCAACATATCAATTTCTTTTTCTCATAACTAAATGTATATATTTCGTCAAATCAAGGAATACGAGATCACGGAGATGGCGATTGCGAATTTTTCAATGATCTTTTGATCTGCGATGTTTGTTTGGATAATATATCGGGTTCTCTTCATCGGTGATTATGGGTTTCTTTGTATCTCGGTTTTAAACGGAGGTGATTTGGATTTCGTTTGGGATCTGGTGGAAAAAGGGGATCCGATGGTTTGGAGGATTAATAATGGCGATTTGCTGTTACAAGGAATCTCAGATTCGGCTAATCCGACGAAGGTACTCTGTATTCCTCCTATAAAAAGGTTCGATTTTTCTTATGTGTTGAGATCGTTGGGAGATCTGTTGGTTGCCTTTTTGCGTATGATTGAGATATATCATATGTTTTTGGAGGAAAGTAAAGGTTTTCTCGTTGTTTTGTGCCCCCTTTGGTGTTATAAGAGCTTGTCTCTTTTCTTTTCATGTCTGATGGCTGAGGATTGTTTTTTTCTACCTAATAAGACTGCTATGTTGAAGCTTTATTTGGTTTGTGTGCTGAGAATAGGTTATGATCTAAGTTACTCCTACTCTTTTGCTCTACGGAATTTAAAAGTACTAAGATATGGGGTGCCCTTATGTATGCTTAGAAAACAGTGTTTAAGCTATGGTGCCTTCAGTTACGTTAGATACTACATAATCTGTAACAAGTTATACTGTTTGAGTGTTTTTGAAATGGTATGGGGCAGGAATGAGGTCGACTCTTATGATGGTTTATCATGGTTACTTGGTCCAACAGTGCAAGGGAGTCACATAATATTTAGAGTGATTCCAGGTTGTACTTGTGGTTTATACAAGTTTATGGTTTCTTTTTCCATTTGTGTATGTTTCTTTGATGGCCAGGTTTCATCTTTCAAGCTTCTAGTGAAGACTCATGAAAGAAAATGGTTTTCCTTTTTTAATTATATTGTAAGCCGGCTTAGATGTTTTGAATTAAATGGTATCTTAATAGGTCTAAGACTATTGATATTCAAAAATAAGCCTTGTAACATCTATATGTTTTTTGTACGACAAATCTTTTTGGTTGAGCTGATGTGGTTTAAAAACTGGTTTGTGAGATGGTTACATCGGTTTCATTATTATGATCATGGTCTTGGCTGGCATTTCTTTTTGGTTACTTTGGACTCGTGTGACAGGGGTTGGCTGGTTCGGAATTTTTACTGTGATTATGGTTTATTTGGATTTACTCTTGGTAATGGCTTCTCTCTCTCTTATGGGACAAGACTTTCTTTCGTTCAAATCAGTACAACAGATATTATACAAGAAAAGCCTAAGAGAAAACAGAGGTGTGGATACACAGATTTTGTTTTGAATTCAATATTGGATATAACTGTTCCAAGATATAAAGTGATGTGGTCTCCAGGGTATGATCTTTCTGATCTATGGCTTCGTGTGGCTTCTGTTTTCTTACTTTTCAATAAGACATTTGTTTTTTGGTCTGAGGTTGGTTTGTTCTGGTTCAGTGATGTTTGTTTGGTTGGTTATTCTAGTGTGTTTCTATGGTTCACAGGTTTTTTTCCCACCAGGTTTCATTCTTTGAAGGTGGACTCTCAAAAGGCTATAGGATTATGGTTTTGGTATCAAGGCATATGGGGTTCCTTTGGTTCCACTTTGGTCGTTCTCATTATCAAGACGGATGCTATTTGGTGGTCTTGGTCTTTTATGCTTTGGGGGTGGGACAAGATGTGGCTATATTCCAAGCATTGTGAAGCAAGTCATGAATTTGTGGGGATTGTACATGGTGATCATTGGTTGATTATATGGATTGGGATACCATTTTTTCAGTTTTCGAAATGGAACAGTGTGGTGTCCTACGGGTCTTTCCTTCTTTGTTTATGGAAAATTTCTGACATTTGGTTTTATAAGTATAATTCTATTTGGGTATTTTTAAACTCGTTAGTCTCTGGCCTTGAATTGATGTCCTGGTTTTTTAGGTTTATAATGTGTGAATTATTAGAGGAATTTTGGAACATACCTGCATCGCAACAAGGAACAATACTTGGGTTCTTTGCTTCTTTTTGGTATCTTCCATGTATTAAGCTGTGGAAATGGACCTTTTACAAACCTGAAAAACTAAATATGGGTTTGCAGTATATGTTTGGTGTCAGGTCTGTTCCGTGGGTTTTATGGGCCCCTCTCAGGTCAATTTCTTTGGTTTTTTTATGGACCCGTCAAGGTTATATGTGGTGTAGGTGGTTTACATTATATTTGGTCGTCTTAAACCAAATTAAAATGGGTTCTTTTGTGAATCCTCAAAACATTTTTAAGTTTTTATGAGTATCTTGAGTTGGAACTGTAGGGGTGCGGGTAGTTCGGATACGGTTCAACGTATTCGAGATTTACGACGTCAATTTTTTCCGGATTTTTTGTTTCTTATGGAGACTAAGCAAAAATTTGCTTACATGGATGTTTTAAAATCAAGCTTGGGGTATGACTATTTACACACGGTGGAACCCATTGGGCGTAGTGGTGGTTTAGCCTTAATGTGGAAAGGGTGTTACTTGGTGGAAATTTTAAATAGTAACAATAGAATTATTGATCTTAAAGTTACAATGGGATCCCTTAATTTTTTTCTTTCATGTGTATATGGAGATCCAGTAAGAGCAAGGAGACGATCTGTTTGGGATCAACTCACGGATATAGGTGTCATTAGAGATGAGGCATGGGTTTTGGTTGGTGATTTTAATGAGCTATTACATAATGGTGAAAATTTGGGAGGCGCTATTAGAGATGACAACACCTTCTTCGATTTTTGGAACATGGTGGAAGCATGTAAAATCAGGGAGATGAGAAGTACTGGAAATACTCTTTCATGGGCAGGTATGAGAGATCATAACTGGGTTCAGTGTCGACTGGATAGAAGTTTTGGTAATGATGAATGGTTTAGACTTTTTCCACAATCGTCTACTGAATATATGAGTATGTGGCCTTCTGATCATCGACCTTTACGCATAGAGTTCGCACTCGAACCAGAAACTTTGCAAAGAGGAAGATTCTATTTTGATAAACGTATGTATGGAAAGCGAGGGGTAGAGGAGGCCATTGTTCGAGGATGGGATGTGGATAATATTAATTCAAATCTCAGTGTCCTTGATCGTATTGCTCGTTGTCGCTCGGAATTATCCAAGCTTAAAAAGAACAATGATTGGAATTCAAAAACAAGGATAGAACGGTTACAGATGGATTTGGACAAAGAAAGCTCAAAGCAGTTCCCCATTTATAGTTTGTTAAGGAGGTTAAGACATGATTTGGCAACGGCCTATAGGGAAGAAGAAATTTTCTGGAGACAAAAAAGTAGAGAGGAATGGTTACGGGAAGGGGATAGAAATACTACTTATTTCCATAATGTGGTTAAAGGGAAAAAAATGAGAAACAAAATCTTAATGCTTAAAGATATGTTTGGTAATGAACACTACTCTGAAGGATCTAAAGGTCATATTGCTACTGAATATTTTCGAGATTTGTTCACAAGCTCTAACCCATGCGATCTGGAAACTTTGTTTGAGGGTTTCGACACTAGGATTTCCGCAGAGATGAATACAGTGCTAACCAGAGAGGTATCATCGGATGAAATTAAAAAAGCAGCATTTGGCATTAAAAGTAGTAGCGCCCCTGGGGAAGATGGTCTTACTGGTTATTTTTACCAAAAATATTGGCACATTGTGGGACAAAAAATTATTGGTGATGTTCAAGGTTTTTTTACAACAGCCATCCTCCCTGCTGGATGGAATCATACACAATTATTTGTATTACCAAAAATTTTACACCCTACGGAGATGAAGGATATGCGTCCCATTAGTCTTTGCTCGGTACAATACAAAATCATTTCTCGGATTCTGTGCGATCGAATGAAAGTAATTTTGCCTAATATAATTTCGGAAACGCAAGGGGCTTTTGTTGGAGGCAGGTTAATTACAGACAATGTCATCATAGCACATGAATTGATACATGGTCTGCGCACTAATGATAAAATTGGTAGAGAAAGTATGGCTATTAAGACAGATATGTCAAAAGCCTATGATCGGGTTGAATGGAATTTTCTTGAAGTTTTACTGGAAAAAATGGGATTTGATCGGAAATGGGTCGTTTGGATTATGTCATGTATTACCACTGTCACTTTTTCAGTGTTACTCAATGGACGATCACATGGTTTTATTAAACCTGAAAGAGGAATACGTCAGGGTGATCCCTTGTCGCCTTTTTTATTCATTTTATGTGCTGAAGCTTTAGTACATGTGTTAAACAGAGCTGAAGCACAAGGAAAATTACAGGGTATAAAACTAGCTAAAGGGAGTCCTTCGGTTCACCATTTGTTATTTGCGGATGATAGCTTGCTGTTATGTGAAGCCTCTATCAAGGACAGTGATGAAATTCTGAAGTGTTTGAAAATTTATGGAGAGGCTTCTGGAGAAATGATTAATCCTTTAAAGTCTTCTATCATTTTTGGGAAAAGCGTAACCGATGATACAAAACATGCTATAAAGATGGCTTTAGGTATCGATAAGGAAGGAGGTGAAGGTTCATATCTTGGTCTCCCTGAATGTTTTCAGGGTTCAAAAACAGATCTCTTGAATTTTATAAAAGAGAAATTGGAAGGTAGACTTCAGGGTTGGTATTCCAAAACTCTATCATTGGGGGCTAAGGAAGTTTTAATAAAATCGGTTGCTTTAGCTCTCCCAATATATGCAATGTCTGTTTTTCGATTACCAAAAGGTCTCTGTGAACGACTTACGAGTGCGATTATTGAATTTTGGTGGAGTAGTGGTGATAAAAAAAAGGAAGATTCCCTGGGTTTCATGGGAAAAATTGTGTAAACCAAAAGAACAGGGAGGTCTTGGGTTTCATGACATTGGTCGTTTCAATCAGGCTTTACTTGGAAAACAAGCGTGGCGAATTTGGAATAACCCTGATTCTTTGGTCTCACGCATCCTTAAAGGCAAATATTTCAAAAATGGAAATTTTTTGGAGT